CTGGTAGATGTACAGTTCTTATAAGGAGTTCTCTAATTCTTCATCACCAGAATTTGCTGGTTTGTTGGTTTCTTCAGTGGTTCCTTTTAAGGACCTTCCTCACATGTTCTTAGGTTCTTGACAATCTCCCTTTCGCTTCTGCATTCTGAATATTCTTATGAAAAGTTCTGGTTACCATGATAAGCCCAATAGTGTGTTTTGCTGAGAAAAAAAAAATGAAAAACTAAACTTCACTTCTTGATGAGTATCTTGGTTCTTTCCACCTCACAAAATGTGTTGAACTGGAACAGTTTTCTATTCATCTTAATTAGGGTTGCTTTTAGTCCTTCCATATGAAGGAGCACCCCACTCTAGATATGGCTTTTTCACCTCTAAAAGGATTGTAGAGCATTGTACAAAATTACTGTGTAGCACAGCGGTATGGCATTTGCCTTGCAGGCAGCCAACATGACCGACCCGAGTTCGATTCCTCCGCCCCTCTCGGAGAGCCCGGCAAGCTACCGAGAGTATCTCGCCCGCACGGCAGAGCCTGGCAAGCAACCTGTGACGTATTCGATATGCCAAACACAGTAACAACAAAGTCTCCAATGGAGACGTTACTGGGCCCGCTCGAGCAAATCGATGAACAACGGCAGGACAGTGACAGGACAGTGACAGTTGCTAAACATGGTGGTGATTTTGCAGCATCCTGGGCATTTTTTATACATGAGGTAGAAATTGGACCTGCGCACCTCGCGCTTGTCCCCCCCCACCTTTTCTCTTCTGGAGAGAAATGAAAAAAGCTTTGCAAAAAGGCATGTTCTCCCTAGGTAGTTGTCACCAAAAGTAAAACAGGACACGCATTAAAAGCAGGAGCAGCCTTCTTTCTCATTGACTTTTAGGGGTCATTTCTTATTTGTAGCTGTCTAGAACTCCATTTTACAAACTTGTTGACTCAGTCTAGAAACCCCTGCTAGTAAGTGTGGGTGCTTATTGACAAGTGCAAATCACCTATAATCTGTGCCCCCCAGGCCAGAGGACTTTCTTGACAACGTGACATGGACTTCTTTTCTCTAAGAATATCATCAGCTTGGGGTCACAGATTCTGCTCAGCAACAGAGTGCTTGCCCCGCTTGTGTGAAGCCTTGGGTTTGATCCCCAACATCAGAAGATTCAAGTCAGTAGCCTAAACAGATTGCACTAAGGAGACACCACTACTGCAGTGAACCGCAATGACCTGGGGGCACATAATAACATGACAGTTGCCAGAGACTGACCCGTAACAATCTGAGAATTTAGGGAGCTAATGAGTAAGAGCAGTTGTATCTAAATAGTTGTCTCTCTCAATAGTAAAGTGATTCTCTAATGTTTCAGTCTTGAACTCTGTTTTCAAAGTGGAAGTTTGAAGGTAAGACCAGAAGTTGATAGTTTTGAGCTCAGCTTTTCAAGCTTGAAGAGCAGAACTGACTGGCTAATTCGTGTAAGCACTGCTCATGGTAATTACAGGATCTCTGGATCACAGGGCACACAACTTGTATCACAAGTTCTACAAGAAATCGGGTTAATACTAATTTGGCTATGCTGTTTGCTGAATTTATATCTTGTTCTACCAAATTCATGCTCTGAAAAGTCATCACATAAAAGAACTTACTGCCGTCCTCCCGTTGTTCATCGATTTGCTCGAGCGGGCCCAGTAACATTGTGAGACTTGTTACTGTGTTTGGCAGATCGAATACGTCACGGGTAGCTTGCCAGGCTTTGCCATGCAGGCGAGATACTCGGTAGCTTGCCCGGCTCTTCGAGAGGGGCGGAGGAATCGAACTCAGGTCGGCCATGTTGGCTGCGTGCAAGGCAAACGCCGTACCCGCTATGCTATCGCTCCAGCCCAGCCTTTGGAAGGTAGCTAATCAAATATGATCTTTTTCTAAAGGGGAGGGAAATTGGAGTTCTTTGGGGCTACTCCCAAGTCTATTGGGGTTCACTGCATTCAGTGTTGAAGATCAAGTGGTGCTGGGGAATACAAATCAAGAGTCTTAACTCCTTTACTATGTCTCTGGCCTTCAAATGTTGTTAATAATAGCATTTTATGTGTTGGTGAAGTTTCATTATAATGTTAATTCTTCCCATTTTATATATACATCAAAGGGCCAGAGCGACAGCACAGTGGGTAGGGCGTTTGCACGCTGCCAACCTGGGTTCGATCCCTGGCATCCCATATGGTTCCCTGAGCACTGCCAGGAGTAACCCCTGAGCATTGCTGGGTGTGACCCGAAAAGTAAAATAAACTGGGTGTGACTCAGAAACAAAAATAAACACATTACATATACATCACAATGGAGATGTTTCTGGGCTCACTCGAGAAAAATCAATGAACAAAGGGAGGACAATGACAGTGACAGTGACATATTACATCTGTTGTTAAAAACTTTTATTTTTGGGATCTGAGGTCACACCCTGTGATGTAGGGCTCCTTCCTCACTCTGTGTTCAGAGGTCACTCCTAGAGGACTATACATGCTATAGAGACCAGATCAGAGTCTGTCACGCAAGGCATGTACCTGGTTAAGTACCTTAACCCCTGTACTAACTCTCCAACTCAATACAGCAAACTTTTTCCCATTCACTATTACTATTGCTATTACTTTGACTTAGTTTTAACTGCATCCTGTAGTGCTCCAGACTTAGTTCTAGCTCGAGGCTACTCTTGGCTCATTGCTGGGGTCACTGCCAACTGTATTCACACCATACCATGTCATATACACAGACCTTGGTCTTCTGCATGAAAAGCATGGGTTCAACTCTATATTTCCTAGGCCAAAAGGTTTTCCTTAAAAAAAAAAAAAGATTTGGGGAGGGGTGGGGGTTGCTTTAGTTTCATTTTGAAAAGTTTTTTTGGGCATTTGGGCCACACAAAGCCCTGCTAAGCACTTACTCCTGGCTCTGTGCTCAGGGGCCACATGATGTGCCAGAGATCCAATACTGGTCTACCATATTCAAGGTCAAACCTCTACCTGCTGTATTATCTCCCCTATAGTCTAGAGTTTTTGTGGTTGTTTGGTTTGCTTTGGTGGGCCTAGAAAACTCAACCCGGGTTCTCAGAATCAGACAAGTGCTTTAACACTGAGCCACCTCCAGGGCCCCACACAGAAGTTTTTAATTTTTTTTTTTTTTTTTTTTTTGGTTTTTGGGTCACACCTGGCGATGCACAGGGGTTACTCCTGGCTCTGCACTCAGGAGTTACTCCTGGCGGTGCTCATGGGACCATATGGGATGCTGGGAATCGAACCTCAGTGGGCCGCTGTGCTATCTCTCCAGCCCCAAAAGTTTTTAATTTTTGTGTAAAACTTTTTCTCAAAATACTTGATACTGTCAAAGGTAAATAAAGCTATTTATTAACTCTGGGTGGAGAAATTTTTCTCTTGTGATTAGCGTTTCCTGACCTTGTTAGGAAATCCCATCCATGTCACAATATTTTTAATACTATCTATGTCACTTTGGAGGAACAGGTATATTTCTCAAGCTCTTTAGTTTTTGATTTTGGAAAGCATTCAAACGTGTCCTATTTTATATCAAATTTCCTTTAAAATCCAAATGAATGGACTCTTTGACCCAATTCTTTTTTCTTTCCCTTTCCCAAAAGCAAAAGCCCTCAATCTACAGAGTGTATGTTTACAAGGAAGTTTAATAAGTACGTAAGCTCTGTCTCTAAATAGCAGTTCCAATAAATCCTAAGATGCTTTAGTATACTGGGAACACAATTAGATCCTGAAAGCCCTCTCCATGAAAACAGTAAACAAAAGGCCCCAGTGTTGGGAGACCGCGGTGCTCGAGTCTCGAGAGCAATTCGCAGAGCGCAGAGGAGAAAGGGTTTTTTTTTTTTTTTCAGTTGCCAAGGACAGGTTCGCGCTGATCGTGGGCACCGCGCGATTGTGATAGGGGTGGGCCGGCCGCCGCGGGCAGCACAACCGCCAACTCCGGTTAGGAACCAGAAGGAACGCTGGCGCTTCGGCGCGAGGCCAGTCTAGCCCGGGAGACTCGCGAGGGGCCCGGGAGTGGCCGAGCTGGACGAGGAGCTCTTTGATGCGGCTCCTGCTAACCTTTCACGATCCCACGACCCATCAGGCGGACCTCAGCACAAAGGCCGCGTGGGATTTCGAAATGCCACCCTGGAGCCGAGGCGGCCGCCGGCGGGCGTCGGATGAGGCGTGACCAGAGACGCCCCGACCCCGCGCTCCGACTGCCCGGGAACGGCCCCCGCGGCTCCGACAACTTTGCGGAGCTGCTGCTGCTGCTGCTGCTGCTTCTGGGCGCTGGGCGAAGAGCCCTCGGGGGGCTCCAGTTATCCGCCCCGTCTCAGCCGGGGGGTGGGGGGCCGCGGCAGCAGACGGCCTTGAGTCACCCGCTTAGCACGGTCGCGGGACAAAAACATTCGATGACGGAGATTTGGAGGGGGACACAGGTGCCAAGGTAAACCGCTGGCAACTCCGGTGGCGGTTCTGACTTCCGGCAGAAGCTACGCAGGGTGTCCACGCGGGCGGGGGTGGGGTGGGGGGGGGAAGGATGGACCCCGATCCGGCCCCTTAAAGCTCTTTTGTGGTCGAAGTTGCAGGCAAAACTTCCTGCGACAGCGGTGCCCTCCCCGGTGGGATTCCCCCCCCACCCCGCACCCCGCACCCCGGAGAGCCTCAGGATTCCTTCCGGTCGCCCGAGCCAAACCACCCCCACCCCGGCTCGGCTCTCGCCCTCCCCGCCCCTCCCGTCCCCTCCCCCGCCCGCGGGAGATGCTCCCACCTCGGCGCTTCGCCATTCATCAACCGGTTCACACCGGCGGCAGCCGCCGCGCGGTGGTGACGTCCGCGGGGGCGGGGGAGGGAGGGAGGAAGGGGGGAGCAGGGTGGGGGGAGTGGGCGGGGCTCCGCCCCCGCTCGTGGGCGTGGGGCCCGCGGAGCCCCGGGCGCCGATTGGCGGGCGCGGCGGCCGACGTCAGGCGGGCTATAAAAGGCCGGGCTTGTGACGCAAGGGCGCCTGGGCGCGTGCATTGGCTCTCGGGACTGCGGGCCGGCTCGGCGACGCGCTCTCCTCGGAGCCGCTCCACTGCATGGTCGAGGCTGGTGCCCCCGCTGCCGCTCGTCCCGCAGCCGCCGCCGCCGCCGCCGCCCCGCGACTACCACCACCACCACCACCACCACCGCCCCCTACCCTGCCGCCGTTGCCGCCGCCGCCACCACCTGTGTCGCCGCCGCCTCGGGACCGGCTGTATGATTAGGCCACAATCTTCAATGAGTAAACATATTCCTGTGAGTAGCCGTCGTGCCGCCGCCGCCCGGCCCGGCCCGGGATTCCACGAGCTTCTCCCCCCACACAGCCCAAGTCCTCGCCTTTGTTAGGAGCCCGGGCGTCCGCTGCCTCCCGGATCGGGGAGTCGGGGCGTCCCCGGGGCTGACGTAGGGGGAGCGGAATCGGGCGCTCCGTGGTGTGTGTGGTGGTGGTGGGGGGGGTCGGCCCGTGGCAAGCCGACCGCGGGGGGAGGCGACTGCTGCGGGTCCCGGGGGTTGGGGGGGGCGGAAGCCGCTTTCGGGGTGCGACGCGGGGCCCCGGGTTTCTGGCGGCGGCCGAGTTGGGGGGACGAGGCGGCGTGTGCCCAGGCCCCTTTGTTTGGCCGCAAGGGCGCGCGCGCGGGGGCCCGCCCGGGGGCCGCCGCAGACGTGGCCCCGGGCCGGGTGGTGGCACGCGGGGGGGAGGCGGGGCGGCTCGGCCCACCCGGGGGTGGCGGTGGGGGCTCTTGTCGGCGTCCGGCCGCCGCCGCCGCAGACAAAATGGCCTCGGCGGCCGGCTGAAGAAGGCGCGGCGCGAACCCCGTGATTGCGGCGCCGAGTCGGGGCGCCGCGGGCGGCTCCCGGCCCCCTCCTCCCCGCCGTGGGCGCCGAGCCGCGGGGGTTTGGGGTGGGGGGGTGGCCTCTTTCATCTTCCCGCTCTTCCTCGAGAGCTGTGGTGGCGGTGGCGGCGCTGCGGGGGTTCGAGCGGGCCCGCCGGGGCGAACGAGGTGAGCACCCGGGCTGCGGCCCGCGCGCGCGCGCGTGCGTGCCCCGCCCGGCACCCGCGGGCGCCACCTGGGAACTCGAGCCCTTCCGGCCGCTTCCCACGCCCCGGGCGCGCGGGGGCTCCCGGGTGGCACGGGGCGGCGGGGGGGGGGGTGGGGGACAGAACGGAACAGGCCGAGGCATGTCCTCGCTCCTTGGCAACGGCCGCGGCGACCTTGGCTCCCCGAGCGACGGGCGGGGGTGGGGGGGTTCCCGGGCGCACGCACCGAGCCGCCTCTCTGGCTCGGGGCCGGAACCAATCTGGGAAGGGCCTCGAACCGGGATGGGGTTTCCCCGGGGATCTCCCCCCCACCCCCCAACACACACACACCGGCTGGGGGGTGCGGGGGCCAGTGGATGGGCCCGGTCCGGTCGCAGAGCAGAACTCTGGAGCTGGTCGGCTTCCCCATCTGCCGCCGCTCCCGGAGCGTTCAGTGGTTCTCTCCGGTTCTCTCCGGCCCCGGGTTTTTATTTAGAACCGGCGCGCTGCTGGGGATCCACGTTCGGAGCCGGTGCTTCCCGCTCTTAACTCCTTCTCCCCACCCCACCCCCCACCCCCCGTCGAGTTGGGTTCGATGGCCGTAAATCGGTTGGGAAACCGTCGAGTTAGCGCCTTCCCCCGAGGAAGCCGCGTCTTACACATGCTCTAGTCGAGGTGCATCCGCCAAACTTCCGGACGGGAACCGACGCCCACCCAACAGGATGGGACCCGGCGGCCGCGCGGGTTCTAATGGCCTGGCCGCTGCTCTCTGACCGATTTAAGCGTTACGCGGAAATGGCTTTGCTCCCCCGGGTATATTTGCTGCGCGGCGTCCAGTTCATAAGTCTGAGCGGAGGTGGAGTGTGTGTGTGGCGGGGGGGGGGGGGGTGGGTTGGTGGTGGAGAGTCTTGGGGTGTTTCCGACCTGCCAATCATGAATCGTTTGAACAGGAGACCCCCGAAGCATTGGGGGCGCCTGGGAAAGAGGTTCAGGGTTACTGCTTCCCCCTCCCCCCACACTGAGGCACGTGCTTCACCAGCCACTGGGTGGCTCCACTCGGGGGAAAAAAGCAGTTGATTCTGTTGCTTTTGAGGCTTCCTGCTGAAACTTGCTTGCACCGAATCCCTTAGACTTGGTGGAGGGAGCTTTCTTTCGCTGCTAAAATATGGGACTAGGGGTGTGAGATACGGGCCCCTACTATCAGCTTCCAGTTGGAAAAAACAAGCTGGAAGGCCTCTATGAAATGAGTCATTGCTTTTAACCGTGCACAAGTATCTAGTTCTTTCATATATATGAAAGCTGCTGGAAGAGATAGTTGGACACTTCTTATCTAAGGGAGTAATGTTCAGGATATAAACTGAAAGCATTAATTGAACTTGTGTCCAGATTACTGCAGTCTATACACTGTAATAAAGGCCTTGGTGGTAATTAAGTCACTGACTTTTAAACCCAAGGAGCAAGTAGGTGAAGTAACAACCTTGAGGGTTCATTTGAACTATCTGAAATTATGAAAGTTATCTTCCCTCCTAGATGAACTTTTAAGCAATGCCTCCTGAGGCTAATTGCTTTGCTTTGGCATAAAAAATGATTTTGACTTCAGGATTTTAACCCTCAAAATCTAGCATTTTCCAAACTATCAAGAGACTTAACTATTTAAGCAACTTAACCAAATAAAGATAGAAAACATAAAGCATTAGTTACACGCAGGCCGGCACTTAAGAGTCTAATAATATATATTAATTATTAGTATTTCCTAAGTCCTATTACTATTTTTTAAGTCCTCTCCTCCTGCTACACAGGTTATTTCAATCTACTTAGAAACTTGATATCAGCATCAGTACTTTTTGTATATATATTCCAAAATAGCCTGTGAATATTTTGATGTTTGCTGTTAACATACAACTTGAGTTCTTAAAGGGGATTTGAGAAATTCAGAATAATTTCAGCCTTAAGTTGAAAAAAATTTTGGTTATAAGGTAAAAGTAGTATCAGGCAAATATCACTTAGAGTTGTGAATAGGACACCTTTTTAAGATTCATAAGCAGGGTACTTGATACATAAACTTCCAGAGACTTGAATGATGAAAATGGTAACTTAATAAATTCTTCAAAGTAAATGTAGGGAGATGCGTTTGTTTAATTATCTTGCATCCAAATTCTGTAAATTGGAAAGGAGTATATTTGTTCTTTTGAATTGGAAAACAACTTTTTTTCCCTCCCTTTCTCTTTTTCTTTTAAACAGCAGTTCTGTGGTGTTCTTGGTCACACATTTATGGAGTTTCTGAAGGGCAGTGGAGATTACTGCCAGGCACAGCACGACCTCTATGCAGACAAGTGAACTGCAGAATTCTTGCTACTCCACCAAGAAGCCCCATAAGAGTGGTTAACCTGGACACAGACGTGTTGAATTGAAATCCACAGATCATTTTACAAGAGTTCTGACCTGGATGGGGTAAACCTCAGTGCACTTCCTTTCTATTGCCTCAGTATTACTGGATTGAAGAGTTGCTGCTTCTTCGTAGGAGGTTCATTTCTCATTACTCCCAACTCCATTACTCAAAGCACTGGGAATTTCAAGTGGAGTGTATTGAAGTAGACTCAGTTTCTTTGCATCATTTCTGTATTCAATTTTTAAAATTCTTTCATAACTGAGTGTTTTTTAACTAAATTAACATGGCTCGAATGAACCGCCCAGCTCCTGTGGAAGTCACATACAAGAACATGAGATTTCTTATTACACACAATCCAACCAATGCGACCTTAAACAAATTCATAGAGGTAAGGTTTGATGCTTTTTTCTATTATCTATTTTTTTAATTTTAGTAGATGTACTTTATATCTGACAATAATACTATTGAGATTTTGAGATGGGCATGTTTACAATTCTGATTTCCAGAAATGAAATAATTGGTTTCTGTGGGGGAGAGAGAAAATGTTTATGCACTTTGCAGAGAACAGATATTTGAGCTTAGATATATGGATTAATGTCTATAGCATAGTTTACTTAATTTAAGCTCATACGTGAACAGTATAGCTTTCTTTTATTTTGTACTATATAGGTTGAAGGCTGTCAGTTGAGGTTTTTTTTTTAATCTGCTTTAATACTATAAACCTTTAAGTTCGCGTCTTAAACCCAACTTTGATGTTTAAGTATCCAGTAGTGTTTAATATTACTTGAACATGTGTATATATGTTATTGCTGATGCTCAGGAGCAAGAAATAGACCTCATAGATCATAGGGAAATACTTGAATTTTTTTATTCTATTGGAGTCTTACTAATTTTTTTTTTTAATTTTTATTAGTGAAACACCATGAGGTACAGTTGTATACTTACACATTTTTGTGCTTGGGTTTCGATTATACAATGATCAAATATCCATCCCTCCACCAGTACCCATTTTCCACCACCATGGATCCCAGTATCCCTCCTGCCCCCATCCCCTCCATCCCCCCCTGCCTCTGTGGCAGGACATTCCCTTTTGTTCTCTCTCTCCTTTTGGGTGCTGTGGTTTGCAAAAGAGTCATTGAGTGGCAATCATGTTCAGTCCATAGTCTACTTTCAACATGCATCTTCCCTCCTGGGAGGATCCTCCAAACACCCTTTATTTGGTGCTTCCTTCTCTATCTGAGCTGCCCTTTCCCTTATAATGCCCGGCTGGCCTCTAAGCCATGGAGTAATCCTCCTGGTACTGATCTCGGCTATTCTTGGGTATTAATCTCCTATTTTGTTACTTTATATTCCCTAGATGAATGCAGTCTTTCTCTGTCTATCCCTCTCTTTCTGGGAGTCTTAACTAATTTCTAAGGTGTTTTTGTTTTAAATGTTGTATGCCGTTTTTACGTGCTCTAGGAAATTTAGGAGGCTTATTTTCATTTTGTTTTGGCAATGCTGTGGATTAAACCAGGACTGGATGCATGCAGAGCCAAACTACTCTAGATCTAGTCTCCAGCTCCTCTTTAAAAGTAGTTTTATTATAATGATTATGAAACATACTGCAAATGAGCAGATGTTTAAAGAATTAATGTGATTGAGTCAAGTCAGATTACTTTGTCACGAGTGTTCTATTTATCTGAACTGTGTTCTAATCCTCTTTAATGCTTTAGTTACTATGACTAAATTCATTGTAAATATGTATTTCTTTTTTTATGCTAGTCCAGTTATGTCAAAGATGTTAGTCTCAGTGGTAGAACAGGACATGTGTAAGTTCCTTAGTTCTAACCCTAGGGCTGAAAAAAAATGATGCTGTTTCATTAACCAGCAAACTATTAACGATTTTAAGTATTTTTACTTACTTTTTTTTTCCCTTTATTTTATTTTATTATTTTTTTCAGTTGTAGATTTACAATTTTTTGTGTACTTACTTTTTAATGTATGTTTTACTCAGGAACTTAAGAAGTATGGAGTTACCACAATAGTAAGAGTATGTGAAGCAACTTATGACACTACACTTGTGGAGAAAGAAGGCATCCATGTTCTAGTACGTATTAGTTCTGTATGTGCTTATGGGTCTATGCTAAAAAAATACATTTCTAGTTAAAGGGGTACTTGGAATTGTAGTTACTTGTGTGGCGTTTGTATTAAACTAAAATGCCTTGAAATTCTTCATATTTAGGATTGGCCTTTTGATGATGGTGCACCACCATCCAACCAGATTGTTGATGACTGGCTAAGTCTTGTAAAAATTAAATTTCGAGAAGAACCTGGTTGTTGCATTGCTGTTCATTGTGTTGCAGGCCTTGGGAGGTAAGAGAATTTTCCTAAGCCCGTTTAATATGTTTTGATTCTATTGAAAACTCCAGTAAAGTTACTTGTAGAACTAAAAGGTTATGTCAATAACAAAGAAAATTTGTCAGTTCAGATGTAACTGACATGTTCTGGGTGTGATAGGTATAGTTTACTCATCCTCAACTGTTACTTTGTAAAGAATGAAGTGGGAATTCATGGGTGGTGTCAGGGGCAAGTCTTCATAGATAAGATGTTTGCTATGAAACTGCTGGTAATCTTATTTATTTACACACTTAACATGTGCTATAAGTATTCCACATAGAAATATGATAGATGAGACTATTTTGGGATTAGGAATGACTTGAAGAATGGATTTCTTCAGTATTGGGTTTTGGAAACCAGCTTATAAGGATTCTTTCTTTATCAGAGCTCCAGTACTTGTTGCTCTAGCATTAATTGAAGGTGGGATGAAATACGAAGATGCAGTACAGTTCATTAGACAGTAAGTATTGACTTTTTATTTTCATTTCTTTGTTGAATATCACTGAATAATTATACCGTTTTCCATCCTACATGACCTTTTTTTTCCTAATATAAAAACCAGGAATTAGGGATCTTTTCTCGCCTTTTTTGTAAATGGGCTCATATTACCAAAACTTTTCATTCATTCATTCATCATCCTGTTATTCGTCGATTGCCTCGAGCAGGCCCCAGTAACGTCTCTTTCATCCTAGCCATGAGATTATATTCAAGGCTATTTAGGAGAATGAGACCCATCATTGTTACTGGTATTTGGCATATTTGGTACGCCACGGGGAGTTTGCCAGACTCTGCCCTGTGGGCAGGCTACATTCGATAGCCTGCAAGTTTGTCCAAAATAGGAATGAGATAATAAGATGTCATAAAAAAAAACCTTTAGGCCAATAATAATACTTTGAATTACTGTTTTACTTTGAATTTTTATTGAGATAGTTAATGTGCCGTGAAATGCACAGGTCTCAACTCTTAACGGAGTTGACGATAGAAAAACCACCAAGTAAATCAGTCAATACAATATAGAGAATAGTTTGATTTGCTTCGGGAAGTGTCTGTATACCTTTTGTAGTCACTTTCCTTGCCATCGGATGCACCCTTCTCACTTGATTGCCATTGTCTTGTTTTAAAGTTTTGACTCACATTAAATTTAGAAAAATAACTTTGTACTACACTTGGTGTTTATAAAATCGGCCCGTCTTAATTCTGCATTGTCACAACATACTTATCAAAAGATGAAATGGCACAGGAGAGAAGCTTGAGCTACAGTAAATATTATGATAGTTATTACTTCTAATTACTCAAGAAATTTATTTTTTTCCCCCCAGAAAGCGGCGTGGAGCTTTTAACAGCAAGCAACTTTTGTATTTGGAGAAGTACCGTCCTAAAATGCGGCTGCGCTTCAAAGACTCAAACGGTCATAGGAATAATTGTTGCATTCAATAAAACTGGGGTGCCTGATGCCATTGCCTTGGAAATGGAACTTGAGCTAGGACCTGATTTGTCCACGTACTGGCCAACATGTTGGCTTGGTGAATAAGTCTAATGAAGCTTCCATGGAAAGCAGTTTCACCAGTCCACAAGCTTGACAGAATTGCATCCTCTGTATTTGGCTTATGATCAACCTATTTGGACACTTAGCAAAAAAATTCTTGCTACTCAGCATTTAAGATGTGCTTATTGTTTGTACCGATTCTTTCCTGAAATCATGCAGTATTGAATAACGTCTTTAAATCTATTCCCAGGCCAGAGTTTTATCAATATATAAGAAATTTAGAGAGATTAGGTGCCAAAATACCCAGCACAATACTTGTATATTTTTTAGTATCGTACAGAACTAAAATCCCAGGAACTATGAGCACTCTAGACCTTATGTGGTTTATTCCTTCAGTCATTTCAAACATAGAAAGTAGAGGATAAGGTTATTTGCCTGCTCACTTTATGTTTACATCTCCCACATTCATACCAGTATACATCAGGTTTGTGCACCTTTTTTTTTCTTTTAAGCCAAGTCTTACAGTGATTAGGGTCTTTCTATAAATCTCATTTTGTGCTGTTATGGAAAACCTCCAGTTTGAAACCTGCATTGTACAGAAGCACATGTCTTTAATGTCTCCAGACAAAAAAGCCTTACAGTTTATTTTATTGTTTGCACTTTGGGGTGCAACTTAACAGGGAGGGCCTGGAAAAAAAAAGAGAACAGGAGGGGGGGCTAATAAGTATTTTTAGTAAAATATTGCCTTTGTCTTGTGCAGAACATGTAGAATATGCTGTTTAAGTTAGGGTTTTTTTTCCCCTTTAGAGATGCTTTATTGTACCTGAAACAATTGTTAATCATAAATTTTTCTGATTTTAATTTTTTCGTACTTATCTGAAGTTGTTTACCAACTTATTTTTGTTTGAAGTGTGATTTTTTTTCCGCAACCTCTTGCAAAAAAAGTGGGTTTCTGCTAATGAATTGAGCAGATATCTAATATTTTATATGCCTTTTGAGCTGTGTAACTTAATATTTGGATACTTGATAATTTGTTTTATTATGTAATTGATAAAATGGTGATGTGTATTAATGTTAGTTCAACCATATATTTATACTGTCTGGAAATGTGTGGTTGTCG